AAATGAAAGGTATGTAAAAGGCCGACAGTACCTATTATATCTATTTTTCTGCTTTAGTTAAACAAAAAACTAAGCAAAATGTATTTTTTTAGTTAAAACTTGCGTTTGTTAGGTATGAATAACTTTTCAGAGGAAAAACCGCTGAGATATATTGCGGGCGCATGTCCTGAATTTCTGGCCATGGTGATCTAACGGTGTTGATGGATGTCCCTGACTTGACCAAGGTGGTGTCATCTACATAGATGTAGGAATTGCATTCTTTGTTAACAAGTGGGATGTCGTTGATGAATAAAATGAAGAGAAGTGGACCAAGTGATGAACCTTGTGGAACACCGGTATGTACTGGTAGGAGATCTGAAGTTAAGATGCACGTCCGATAGACACTAGTTGCTTTCGGTCCGTGAGATAAGACTTGAACCACTGGAGTGTTGAGTCTTTAAGACCATAAATGGTAAGTTCCTGTATTAGAAGGTCATAGATTATAAGGGCGAACGCTTTCCGGAAGTCTATAAGGCGAATTCCGCTGAGATTTCTTTTGTCCATATCATTAAGTAGTGAGTCTGTAAGTTGGAGTAACATTGATTCACAAGAGTGGAAAGGTCGTGATCCAAATTGGGAACTGGTGAGCAAGTTGTGTTCTTGAAGGTAACCAAGTAGATGTAGACCATAAAAGCGCTCCAAAATCTTAGATAGCACAGACAAAATAGCGATAGGTCTATAATTATCCTTATTATGTCGCGAGCCTTTTTTGAAAACAGGCGTGATCTTGCTGATTTTCCACTACTGGTCTGGAAAAATCCCCCAGGTTATGCTAGTGTTATAGATGTAGAGAAGAGATGGGAGGACTTCGTTGCAGCCAACTTGAAGAAGGAGGATGTTTATCGAGTCGCCAAGTTGTTGATTGCATTCAGAAGGTATTCTGCAGACATGGCTGGAACCGTGAAGTGGTGGTTATCAGGAAGGCGAGTTTTCACAAATTGTCGAAGCGGTTTAAAATTTGGTTCGTGATGTGTTGTATCATGGATGACAGAGTCTGCAATTTGCGAGAAATGCGAGTTAAACAAATGTGCAATTAAGGCTGGGTTTGTGGCCGAATTCCCATTATCGATTATCTCGTTTGGTGTTGTTTTGTTGGGGTTCAAGTTTCCCGCTTTTTTCATCAGTTTCCATAGTTTCCTCGAGTCATGTTTGTTCTGTAAAATTTCGTGTGCAAAGTAATTCTTTTTTGCTTGTTAATGTTGAATGATATTCTGTTCCTACATGCAGGTCTGAACGTTTCCCATGATATTGTTCCGTTTCGAGCTTTTGCTTTTAGCTGATCTCGTTTCTTTATGTCAGACAGACTTTCAGGCGTCATCCACTTAGGAAGCTGTAAGGATTTGACTCTTTTCGTTCGGAGAGGGGAATGTCGTTCAACAACACTCTGGAAGATCTCGTACCAGAGTGCAAGGGCGCTAGTTGGATCGTCAAATGCTTCAATTGAAGACCATGGGGCCAGACGTAGATCTTCACGAAAATCTGTTTTGTTCAAGTTGGATAAGGATCGATATTGAATAGCGTTCTTTTCATTTCGTTTTGATCTCAAGGAAGCGTTACAACGACGTACGAGGAAGACAGGATAGTGATCATTCAGAGAAAGTGGTGGTACATGTACTGACGCAACATTTCTTTCAAATAAACAGTAGATGTGGTCAATGAGCGTTGAAGTGACACTGAATGTTCCGTTCACATATCGAGCTTCCGTTCTCGTTGGCACTGTGACTAGTTGTAGACTCATAAACATCCGTTTTATTATGTTAATTTTTGTGTCGCACTCTGGCCTTTCTTGCGTGTTTAATTAATGTTTTTCTTTTTGTATTAAACGACTCGAAAACCCAAAAATTTGGACCAAGCGAATTTATACAATATAGTGGAATATAAACAAGGACAATTTAAAGGTTGACAGTTTGACTACACAACGCAGTTTTAATTAAACAAAATCTCTTAATTCCTTACGATAGTTTTAGCCAAATGTCGACAATATATCTTACATGTATTAAAATTCGCGCTGTACTAGAATTCATGTAGCGCTGAGTGCGCAAATTTTAGTACTGCGCGAAATATAATCCGCGCGAAAAGCTTTATGGTAGCTAGCGCTACAGTAAAGATAAAGCGTGCGTTCAAAATACCAACAAGGACTAATACATTTATTGTATGGTTCTCATTTGCTTAATACAATAACTTAGGGCCTGTTTACATGGAGGTAGGGCCTGTTTACATGAGGGTTACCCTAGCAAGCGGGTCAGAAAGTAGCGAGCGTTTACATGAGGTAGGGTGACCCTACTGCTAGGGCTATGTTGCCCGATAGGGTAACCCTACCTATGCGTGGTCGCTAAGACGTCTGCATTAGATAAATTGCGCCGAAACGCAAAGTTTTAGCGGCAAGTTGTGTAATGCTATTTATTGTGGCTTTGCTTGCTGCATTTCAATGTTGTGGTCTGTTATTTCAATGCCTTGTGTCGTGGTCTGTTATTTTAATGTGGTCTGTTATTTCAGTGGAATCGCATTGCGCAATGTATTCCTTGATATAGTCCAACACAACAGTTTTTCGACATGTTCGGCTGACCAAGAGCGTTTATTTTGTTTTTTTGACGTCGATGAGGATGCGCCGGAATTTTGCTTCCTTTTCTCCGTCTTTGACTTTGATATCGAAACTACATCATTCACAGCGTTATCGTCCAAAGGCAAAGCTTCGTTATGTGCCTCTGCTTCCTTATTTGTAAATTACTTATCCTTTTTATTTTCTGGTGTCGTTTAAAATACTCGCCAGGCTGATATGTTCATATGTATAATCTAGCGACGCCATCCTTGTTTGGCCATCAGTCACAGTAGGACATATAAAACATGACTCGCTTGCTAGGGTAACCCTACCTGAAGCGTTTACATGGCTTATGTAAACAAAAAGATAGCTCTGCTGCTAGGGTCACCCTATCTGTTTGATAGGGTAACCCTACCCCTAGGGTAACCCTAGCGCGCATGTAAACGCTTCCTATAAAACATATTGAAGTAGGGTAACCCGCTTGCTAGGGTAACCCTTCTGCTAGGATCACCCTACCTCCATATAAACAGGCCCTTAGTTCGACGCGAATTTTAATACAAGTAAGGTATGGTATCATATTTCATAAGATAAGGAACAATGTAAACTGGTCATACATTTCGCCGAACATATAAACTTCGGCCCCTTTGGACATATCTTTTGCGTAATAGTATTATTGGAATCAGAATCCAAAACACTATTTATAGTGTTATTTTCAAGCTTGTGTCTTCAGATTTTCGTCTTTTATTTCGGTATTTACAGAATATTTATATTTTTAGCGCGGCCCATGAAACGTACATCAAAACCATGCGCTGTTTAATAATATCGTAGGGGTCTGAAAAACCGGAAATCGATTCTGTAGGTCAAAGTACTCCCAGTGGCAAGGTTTGCACGTGTATCGATTGGGCTATAAAATATGGCCTATAAAATATGGCCAAGCATCAACGTGGCGCGTGCGTGCGTGTAAAAACTCGATATTTTGAAAAATTCAAAATATATATTTCTACTCTGTGCCGTATTCAAACGAAACTTTGTACATGAAAGCTAAAACGAAAAGCATCAATGTAATCTTGCGAGGGGGGGTCAAATGTCGTCAAAAGATTACACAAACCAAAACAATCATATATTTACTCACCGCTTGGCCAAACATTCTGTATTTCATATCGAGAAAAAAAACTTGAATATCTTCTAAACTCTTCAGAATTTATTCAGAGTCAATGTGAATAAAATGCGTCCTGTATTCAAGCGAGGGGGGTAAATGCTCGCTGAGATATTTACAATTAGAAACAATAAAATCGTAAAAATGTGAAATTTTGAATTGGGGCGTGACGTGAAATTAACCAATTTACAGGCAGTACTTTACTGGCAGTGCAATTGTCTATACAGTAAATACCAAAGTAGATAGGTAGTAAATACTAAAGTAGGGTGCATTGCCAGCTAATGAGTTAATAAAAGACATTGGCAGATGTGTTTGTTAAACCATTTACTGACAGTACTCTACCACTGACAAGTAAAATCGTCTGGCGGTACACGGTGTAAATTTGT